GTTCCTCGTTGGAGTACTTTGGTGCAGTTCTTTACAGTCCAGCCATGTTGGTAACCTGAGTGGGTTACCATATAATGATGGTATGTTGAATGATAATTGTGATCACTACACGGAAGAAAATGTTAAATTATTTCAGAAATTGACCATTGTAAACGTTTTTCAACATATCAACTAATGTTTGAGTTGAAAATTAAATAAACATCTATCACAGTTTACGGACCAACTTTCTGTTCTGTCATTGTCTTTAATGCAGAGAATTTCCACTACTATGGGAATTGATGACCAAATATATGCAAATAGGAACAACATTAGAATTAACACAACATATCCATTAATCCCATGTCAAACGAAAAGAGAATGTGAAAGTGACATATTATTAGAAACCCCAAAAGACCCAAATCTGCCTCTCAACTATAAACAGAGCTTTTTATGTCTTTGTCTCATTGTTTTGGGTTTTACGGTCTGGAACTTTCCCTTTACTAGGAGGTAACTGTTTTCAGTTAAAGCCTCTACAAAGCGGAGTGAAGGCTATGTCTTAATGACAACTTGCAATTTAAGATAGCTGGTAAACAGGTAACTAAATGCTAACTACTTAGTAAACGTCAGTTCGTAAAGGCTCTTAAATGTCAAATGTGTGTGATTGTCTTGAGGTTGTTACATTTTTTTTCCCTAAGTAGGCCCTGGAAAAAAGACAGCTTTCAGTGAAAGTATTAAATTAAATAATAACCTCCTGGCTGCCTTTTGCAATTGCTAATATACAATGTTGCGTGGTATATTTTAAGTTGATGAGTCTGGTGTGAAAATAAGCAGAGGTCTATGGATCCTTAGTGGAGGAAAATGAAGATATATTCTCATCTGCTTTGGTCCTGAGACAAGCGAGTGACTTAACTTACTGATTTATTGAAGCCATTCTGTTGCGGAACCTTGTTGTGAACCTAACTGGCATTGAGACAGAAAATGATGGAGTGGACCAAATGAGTGAGTTCAACCAAGAGTCACTGGTAGAGACAAATGAGGACATCATGGCTCCGGCTGAAGATGAGTCACGTTGCAGAAGAATGGCTTTTTTATGTGAGACTTTCTCTGAATAAGTGTTACTATGTATTGATTTCCCCTTAATGCCGTGCCAGAAAATATTGCTTTACAATCTGCCGCTGATGACACTCAAGGATTCATCTTTTTTTGTAATCAGTCCTTCAGGCTTTCATTCATCCTCTTCATTTATTTTCATCAGTCTCATTTATGTTCGGCTATCACCACATTACTGTCATTGGAGAACAGTGTTTTCGGAGAAAGAATGATATTTTATAGTCTAAAAGAAATTCCATAGACAAGTTACAGGATGCGTTGTTTCCATCTACAAATATTTTTTTAAATAAAGATGTTTGCAATGTTTAGTATAAGTATCATTTTGTTAGAAGGACATGTTTCCATCATTCAAGAGATTTTTGATTATCTTCTATACTATCTAGGCTCAGTTTGTTGGATTTTTTAAATTTATTTTAAATGTTCTTACAATTCTTTGAAAAGGTCACTATGTGAACAAAACTATAGCAAGGGGCCAGATGCTTGAAACCCATTGTTGGCCCCTAAATACGTCCCTGTTGACACATGAAAAAGATCTATCCGTGTTTTCTGTTTTCCTAAACCTCAATCATTTAGAAACGTGGTGCACATGAACAGTAGCAGCCTGATTCCCACTCCCAATGGCAACAAAAGGAATATGTGTTTTAATGATTGTCTTTGTTAACGTAAGTTTACCTTACACATTATCCCTTTTGACACCTTATATTTGAAGTATGCTTGACTTGAATCTGGCCTGAGGTCGGTACAAACGGAACCAATCACGTTTTTTAAGTAATTTCTCCTTTAATTCATTACACTTGCTTTTCTACATCTGTTTTCCTTCTCTCCCATGTGGGATGACAGAGTGCTTCTGTCTCTAAATGGGACCTCCCTATCTCTCCTTTCTTTTCACACCAGGCAGAAGAACTTTGCCCGAGGCATCGAGCAGCAGCTCCCAGATGGCATGGTGGTGGCATCGGTGCCAACGGAGGTCCAGTGCCATGAGGAGCTGTCGGACCCTATTCCCGACCCAGAATACCTCACAGGTATGAAATCATATTTCATAGTTCACTTTGCTATCACACAGCTGTGCTATATCACTTCATCAAAGGCCTGTCGGATATCTTCATTACTCAGAAAAATTCAACTTCTCAGGGTTTGAGAGTGGAATGCTGAAATTGTCTTATTATACATTATTACATTTTAGTCGTCATTTATAATGTTAAAGCAGGTTTTCAATGTGAGTTGAGTGTACCAACCCCGGTGTGCATATCATAATTGGTCGACTAATGTGTCTATTTCCAATGAGACATGACCCAGGTTCCGATTAGGTCTAGGTACACATTGTTTTGATTATTTCTAGGTCCTTTTAATGCAGCAGGTCTCTCATATGAGTGTTAACATGTTTGTTGGTCCAAGTAAAAAGTAAAATCTCGGATCACATTATGTGTTATGAATATTACAGCAGAAAAACAATGTTTGTTGAAGCAAGGTGTCCTGGTAATTGGTGGAGCCCACTGCTGCGGGCAGTGTTGTTGAGTTCCTACTCAGCTTGCAACACTGCCCTGTTTCTTGCAAATTAGGTCTAAAATGTGTACAACTAGTTTTAATGAGTCATTCATTCATGAGTCAGAATTATCAATTTTTTTACAGTAAAAAGGTGAATTAACATATCAGGCAAGCTACAGAATGTTAATTCTGAGCATATCTTGGTATCCCTCTTTTAAACTTTTGTTTCTCTTTCTACAGTAATCTTTCTTCTGCTAATAGCAGCTAACACATGATTATACTCACAGTAACAGCAGTAGATAAGGCTGTTCTCCGGAAAAAAAGTGAATTAAAGCCCAACAGAGGACCTGTTACTTAATCAACATACAACCAAAACTAGTTCTCATTCGTAACACTCCGTTCGATGTCTCACTATGGGATGCGCCTCATCGCGGAGCAAACAGAAGCATCAATCTCATTACGCCAATCCTGATTGGCTGGTGATCTTGACGTCAGCGTCAGGGAATCTACCCCCTATAAGTAGCTTGCGCTACGCCGCATGCATCATTCAAACACCTCTTCTTGCTTCAGAGCACATCTCTATTGGTAACACACCTGTTACTAGCTTGCCTTTCCTCACTACCGACACCAAGGTAGCGGGGACGGTTTTTTATTTTTCTCTCTCACACCAGAGGAGGGGAAGATAAAAAGGGTATTAACACACCAGTTAATATTCTTTGAGAATAAAATTCTACACCGTTGTTTTTTCTCCGGATTAACGACAGGTGGGGAAGGATTTTTTCTCAGCAACGTACCTGTTACGAGCGAGTCCTCTCCACGCCGTCACCACGGCGACCGAGATGGACGCTTCTCTCCCTCACACCAGAGGAGTCAGGGACTCGGAGGCTCGGCTCTGCGGCTGCAGGTTGAAGATATCAGGCACAGACTCACACCAGGTCTGCTCGTCCTGCCTCGGGCTGGAACACGCCCAGGAGGCTATCGACAACCCCGGCTCGTGCGGGCATTGTGCCCGCTTCACCATCAAGAGCCTCCGCCGACGGCTAGCACGCCAAGCTAGCTTGTCGGGACAGGACCCCCTCATGTCCGCTGTTTCGCCGGCCGGCAATCAAGACATGGGGGCGTCCGCCGCGGAGAGCCCCGCGCTGTGTCAGGCTGGGGCTCAATAACAGCGGCAGCTGCTGAACCGGAGCCCCGCGCCGTGTCAGGCTGGGGCCCGGTGGCGGCAACAGCCGCGAGAGCGGAGCCCCGTGCTGTGTCAAGCTGGGGCTCCCAACTGGACCTCACCATGGTCTCGCCCGCGGATGATGTCCTGGAGTTGGACTACATGGAGGACGAAGAGGATACCTCTGAGTTCTTCCTGTCCGACTCGGATGAGCAAGACGATGATGTCTTCGTGTCATCAGCTCAGGCTGCAAAGCCGGGAGCGATGGCTGCTCTCCCGGGCGATAGCGCACCAGCTTCGCCCTGTCTGAGCATGGACCTGCAGGCCGTGTGTCAACGTGCCGCGTCCAGGCTGGACATCCCATGGCCTGAAATGGCCAAGGAGACCTCCAGGTCTCGCTACGAGGGGAAGACTTTGCCCCAAGCAGCGAGGACAAAGAGGCAGCTCCTTCCAGTCTTCCCGGAGATGCTGGACGAGGTGTCGGTCTCGTGGAGAGACCGCCCCTTCAGTAATAAGGCCCCAATCCAGGGTGCCTCCTCCCTGGACTGTGACGGTATGGAGAGGCTCGGCCTGCTCCGCATGCCGCCCATGGAACCGCTGGTGGCAGCCCACCTCCAAACGAGGCTGGCTCTGACACCAAGCAGGAACCCCACGCTACCGGTGAAGGCAGACCGGTTCCAGTCAGCGATGACGGAACGGGCCTATAAAGCCGCAGCGTTGTCCGCCAGGGCACTCAATGTCTCCTCACTGCTGACCGCCTACCAGGCGGAGCTCTGCGAGGACCTATCGAGCAAACCTGGGCCGGCCGTATGGGACGAGATCGCAGCGATCACGGACATTTGCCTCCGTGTGCAGCGCTGTGCAGTCCAGGCCACGGGCAAAGTCATGGGCATAATGGTGGTACAGGAGAGAGCCAGGTGGCTCAACCTGACCAACCTCCCAGACCGGGAAAAGGAGGATGTTCTTGACATGCCTATCGTTCCCGAGGGTATTTTTGGCTCGGCTTTAGTCTCGATGCAGCGGAGATGTGAGTCGAAAAAGAAGGAAGACGAGGCCCTCCACCTCTGTCTCCCCCGAAGGGTCCAGCCGCTACCTGCGACGGTCTCGCGGCAGTCCTTCGCCCAAGTTGCCTCACGCCCTGCCCGGTTCAAAGTACCGAGGCAGCAGAGGCCACAGCCCGCCCCGAGTCCCCCAGCCCAGACAGTAGACGAGGACGAGCTGGCCGAGGAAATCTCCGGTTTCGGCAGCTGCTGTTCAGGCACAGCCGACTCAGATTTTCGGCACCAGTCGAGGAAGAGAAGCGGGGCGGCCTGAAACGCCTTCTCTCCTCTCCTCGGTGACAGAGCTGGAAGTTCCCCTGTTCCCCAGCTCCAGATGTGTTTTCGGGGTGCCACCAGGCCTCCATCTTCCCGCCGCCTCGAGTGATGCCGCAACGCCATCCTCAAGTTCGCGCCAGAAGGGAAACAGACTTAATACCAGAGACAGCGAGTTCTGCTATCTGCCTAAGTCCCCGGTCCGGCGAGGCCCACCACGCCACTTTCTAGCACGCGTCCCTGCTGACCGAAATCTCTCTGTCAGACGCAGGACGGCGCATCCCCTCGGACGTGCCGACAGGCGGGTGGTCGTCGAACTATTTAGAGGTGCGGTCGGTCATGGAACGTCCGGTCTACGCCTCGATAGTCCTAGTAACACACAGCGTGCAAAGGACTAGAGACGCGGTCGTCAACCCCCATAGTCTCGGTCCCCACCTTTGCGGCAGTCCTCCTGGCCTCCGGTTTGCACGACGCTCGCGCAGGCGCTAAGGATCTGCGCGACCGACCCAAACTAGCGACGTAGCTGTTCTGTGCGACTGTTACTGTCGTAAAAGACAACTCACAGCTTGACGTAGATGGCGAGCGCACAAGACCGGCATTGCGTGGGATGCTCCGATGAGTGTGGTAACCTTACATCTCTAGGTCAGACGTATCAGCATTGTGAGACCTGTCTGTCCAGAACGGGCTCTCAAGGTAGTACGGTGCCACTAATTATACAGGGCAGCACGCAAGTCCCTATTCACTACCGCTGCGCGCTCTAGTCGTCTCTACGGGCGGGCCAGGTGACGCCCCGAGTTGACCTCGAGCTCTGCGATTGGGCGACTAACTCATAACCTCAACCTGAGTGCTCCATCGCTACTCAATGGGAGACTCCAGCATAACAGGCTGAGTACTCGTTTGCTTCTACCAGAATCCACACGTGTCGGAGTCCGACGTTTCAGCACCTCGCTTACCCCCGAGAGACCGACGCTTCTCGCGTGTGTCCGGCGTGGACAGCATTCGTACTGGACGTCCGGGCGCACAGTCTGCACGCGCACTCCCCCTGGTGGTTACCGCACTTTCCTGTCGTGGTATACCTTCGGGGATGGTCCAGCTGCGATGCATGCACTTCTGAACGGGGTGACAGTCGCTCCGGTAATCGCCATGATAAGGTCGAAGTGCTCTACGACCGGCTCCAGCCGGGGTATACGAGACCTCTCTGCTAACGGGTGAAGTCAAATCCGTCGTTCCGTCCACGGACTAATTGCTGATACACTGAATCTTTTGAGCCAGACGTGGCGTCGGCGTTGGTACCTGGCGTACCACAGTCAGGGTAAACTGTTGGCTCCAATCCGAGACTGCGGTTCGTCCTTGCGTGCGGCTGGCCACTTCCGTACTGACAAGATCCTAGTCGCTAATGCCTTGCCAGGAGAATTCGCGCTCGCAAATAGGCAGTTCCCGAGGGTTACAGTGGGTACGAGAGACGGACTGGTCGGATGGCCTGCTCGGAGACGCTCCTGGATATGCTAACGTCTGACACGGCCAGGCAATCCCTAGTATACGCCGTCGCTTAGCGCCAGGTAACGAGACACCCGTGCGCGAACGCGTAAGGTCCGTGCCCGGTTCTCAGTACCGGATTACTTACCATGTCCGCTCACGGTCCACGGTTGGACTGGCGTGGAGGGTCTGGCCGCTTCTCCTCCTACAAGACTGAGCGATAGCAAGGGCTCCCATTAAAGCCGAATGGCGAAATCAGAGCTGCGTCGCTCTCACACTCAGCTTTTTCTTACTTCTGCTCTGTCGAGATACAGACAGTAGGGGGCTTCCCAGCTCACATGAGTTCAGAGTCCGCAGGGCGCGGTTCACGGAGTGCAGGACGGGCCAAGTACCATGGCTCCACTCGTCCCCGGTGTCGGGCGGAGAACAGGTCGCAGTCCGTCCTCTGCACAGGCTGACACGCTCTTCGTCAGGCAGCGATCCATCAGGTCCGCTTATGGGACAACAGAATTGCCCTGTAGCATGTTTGTGAGAACCTGACTCTCTGTCTGGCTTCCCTTCATGAGACATAAGCATTGTCTAGGGG